CCTGTCACTTCAATCTCCCTGAACACGCTATCCATTCTCTGGAGTCAGCACAAGGCACCAGGGTGCCATGGTGGATACAAGAGTTTGGAAAGGGGTTTGCCATTTGCCAGCTGTTTGGCCTTGGCTAAGTTACTTGGGCTCTTTGTGCCTTGGTTACTTCTCCCGCAAATGGGGAATGCTAACAATTCCCACCTTAAAGAGATGTACCGTAAAAGTAGACAATTTGTCAAGCAGTGTGATTGGCATATTGCAGAGACTCCATAAATCCATATGGAGCAAAATGAATGTAGACAGTACCTGAGTTTGATTCCTCTGCAGGACTGGGTACCAGAAGCCAGCAGAATCAACCTTAACCCCATCTATGTGATTTTATTCCTTATGTATATGAAGCTGTTTTGCTTTCCACCAAAATGTATTGGCAGCAGCTATAGCAGGTGGAAAAGTTTTAATTTAATTTAATTTTTTGCAGTGCTAGGGAGCAAACCCAGGGCCTCTCAAATGCTAGGCAAGTGCTCTACCACTGACTCCAACCCCAGTTCCAGAAGGGAAATATTTAATCGGAACTGAACTTGTCCACACCAGGATGTTATGCTAACCCCAAACTCGGAACAGCACTCAGTACTTTGTATTATTTTACTGAGTCCTCAAAACCCTAAAAGGCACACACAGATGAGGAAACTGAGACACAAAAAGGACGAGGAACTTGGTACCCAAACCCAGTTCTGACTGATATCTTACCTATTAAACCTTATACCTATCTCAGAAGAGCAGAGAGGGAAATGCTGGGTGGTGCAAAGAATGCCCACACATTTAGGATAAAACTCTATGGGGGTTGGGCTTGGGGGCGCACCCCTGTAATCCCAGCAACTTGGGAGGAGGCTGAGATAGGAGGATCACAATTTTGAGGCCACATCTCAGCAACTTAGCAAGACCCTGTCTCAAAATAAAAACTAAAAAGGGCTGGGGATGTGGCTCAGTTGTTAAGCACCCCTAGATTCAACCCCTGGTAACAATGATAACAACAACAACAACAACAAAAGCCCCCAAAGCCCCCCAAAGTCTTTAGGTTGTTTGTAAAGACTTCTTAATAATGTTTTTTGGTTTATTGACATAGAGATGACTGTCATCAGGATTCAACCTGCTCCTGACCACTGACTTCCACTCTATCAGCTGGCTTCAGATACTTCCTTCCATGCTCCTTCATCCCTAATACTCTTCCTTTTTCTGCACATGCACAGCTTATCCCTGAGGATGCAGAAAAGAAGAATAAAGCAGGATGTAGCAGGATGGATTAGCACTGGCTCATGTGGGCCTTCCTTCTGCAAGATTCAAAAATATGCTTTCCAAGAAATTCTTACTGACTTACCCCTAATGAGGCCCTGAGCTTATAGTTCAGCTGCCTGAGACAGCGGTCTCATTAAGAAGTGCAGGCTGAAACCACTCAGAATATTCACAGCCCACCGAACCTGCGGCCCTCTCACCTTGGTGAGGGCATGGCCAGGGAAACTAGTCAGGACGTCTTAGAACAGAGCCCAAGTGGGAGTCCTTGACAGGTTAAGGGCAGTGCTGCCCTTGATTCTACCTTCAAATTCCTCTTAAATGAGAAGGTCCACTTCTTCCATCTCCACTGCTACCATTCCAAGTCCCCCACAACTGGTCCACACTCTGAGTGGACCCTGCTTCCACACTTCCTTGGGAATCTCTTCCCCCAGCACCCAGAATGACCTTGGAAAAATACCAATCAGATCATGTCAACACCTTGCTAAACTCTCCGACTCACACTAAGAATAAAACCCCAGGCTGGGGGACTGGGGTTTGTAGCTCAGCGGTAGAGCACTTGCCTTGCATGTGTGAGGCACAGGGTTGGATCCTCAGCACCACATAAAAAATAAATAAATAAAATAAAGGTCTTGTGCCCATCTACAACTGTGTGTGTGTGTGTGTGTGTGTGTGTAAATTCCCAGGCTTGGGCTGTGGCTCAGTGGTAGAGTGTCTGCCTAACATGTGTGAAGCACTAATTCATTCTTAGCACTGCATGTAAATAAATAAATTAAATAAAGGCCCATTGGCAACTAAAAATATATTAAAAAAATAAAATCTCAACTCCCAGAGACAAGGCACTAGGACCATATGCATTCAGTGACTATCCTTGGGGTTAATGGCATAAGGCAGCCTCGGTTCAAATCCTGTTTAGCTGCTTATCATTTGTGTAAATTTGAGCAGGTTACGTAAACCTCTCTGAGCCTTGGTTTCTTCATTCATGAGCTAGCCATATTGTAAATACCTGTTCCACAGAGTTGTCGCCAGGAGGCACAGGCATGGTGGCTATGAAAAGCACTCTGAACACTCCCACGAGATTAACTGATAAGGTGGACCATAACCATGGATAGGATAACTAACTTAAATATCCAGGGTCTACTCTTCAACAATGAGCATCTCATATACACTTCACTGACCAGTCTTGCTAAATACGTCAGAAATGTCCTTGCAGAAGACAAGCGAACAAGCCAATAAAATCCTTAAACCATGGAATTAATAGCTAGAAAACATCCAGAATACTCTGGTAGGGCTGTCTGAGGTATCACAATTAGATGGGACATTGAGAAAGCTCTTAGTTTAGGAGGATGCCCATCAACTGCCATCTGCCGTTGTTCTGAATTTTGGATGAAAAAGAATAGAAAAGACCAAACACTGAAGACCTTTCTTATCCTTTGAAGGCCCACTCCTTCTTCAGAAAATGACTTACACCTATAATTTTCCTGATTTAAAATTGCCCAGTCCCTTCAGAGTTGTGGCACCCATGTTGCTCAGGGAAGTCATTCTTTTTTTTTTATGGTAACAATTGTTATAAAGGAAATTCTATAAAACCAAACACCTATTGGTCTTTCACTGTCAAGAGCTCCTCATATACCTTTTATTTATATTTATTTTGTGGGGGTGGATACCGGGGATTGAACTCAGGGGGCACTTGACCACTGAGCCACATCCCCAGCCTTATTCTGTATTTTATTTAGAGTCAGGGTCTCGCTGAGATGCTTAGTGCCTTGCTGTTGCTGAGGCTGGCTTTGAATTCATGATCCTCCTGCCTCAGCCTACTGGGCTGCTGGAATTACAGGTGTGCACAGCGTGCCCAGTTCCTCATATACCTTTTAAATACCTGCAGATGGCTTTCCTGTTTCCCACTGAGCAGGTTCTCCTACAGGTCCTCAACCCTTCCTCACATCACACAGTTTCTAGATCCTGTCATCCTGATCCCTTTTTTTCCGAGCATGCTGGACTTGTGACTGTCCCTCTTAAAAGAGAACCCCCAAATAAACCCTATCATCCAAGACTACTTAACAGAGTGAGATATCATCTCCCTCGTTTTGGAGATTATATTTCTATGAATAGAGTTAAAAAAAAAAAAAGCACATTTATTTCCCTGGAAGACACCCTTAATTGCTTCCTGTCAACTAAACCCTCTCAGGGCTTTTGGCACACACTTATTCTAAGCCACACCCTTATCAACATTTGTCTGCTTGGTCTCACCCACCTCCGAGCGGATCTTCCATGTGTTCCCTATCGATTTCACTTGATTGGCATCTTGTTAGTATTCCAACCTCTCAAATCATCTTCAATACAATTCCACCATCCATGAGCTAGTGTATAGTTTTGTATCACATAAGTATTGAATTACGAGGTCATCCTTAGTTTCATGCTGGTCACTGACAAAGCTGCTGAAAGGGTCCATGTCTGTCAACCAGACCTGCCTCCGGGCTCACAGGGACTCATTAACTACCACTCCTTAAGGTTTGGTCACTTCACTGATATGGCAGATGCTCTCTAGGGGACCCTCCAGTGACTCATGCCCTTGTGTAATCCCTTTACCTGGAGTATGGAACCTGAGACTTGCTTCTAAGCAACAGATATGGCAAAGATAATAGGCTGTCACTCCCTCAATGAAGCTAATTTATTTGAGGCTCCATCTTAGCAGAGTGAAGTGAGAAAGACTCCCTTGCTGGCCCTGAAGAACCTGTGATATTATGGGACGGTCAGGTGGTAAGGAACTACGGGTGCTCCCTCAATGCTGAGGACAGTCCCCAGATGACAGAAAGAGGAAGCTCAGTCCTATTCCAGAAGAGGAGTTATTCCAAAAACTCAAGGGAACATGGAAATGGATCTCTCCCCAATCCAGCTTCTGATGGAACCACAGCCCTTCAATTAACCAGGACTTTCAATTTATATGAATGACCTGGATGACAGTAAAACTCAGATTTTATATAGAAGTCACACCATTTCGATCCTCTTACAGTTATTGCAATGGTAACCATCTAACTACTCATGATATTTGGAAACAGGAATCCTTTAATAGTAGCTGAGTGGTCTGAAAAAATTAATCTTTCTTTCAGAGATGCTCCATTTATATTGGCATTGCAATAGTTCCGGTACTGAGAAAAATCCAAATTGACCAATCTTTCATCAATAAATAATTGATGGAGTGTCTTTAGTTATGCTTCTTTTCTAGATGTGGGACTTGATTCCCCTTTCTCTGAGTGGTGGCTGAACCTAGTGACTTATTTTAAAAAACAGAATATGTTAGAAGTGATAGTGTGTGGCTTCTGAGGCTTGGTCATAAACAGTATTGTGGCTTTCGTCTTGTTCTCTCTCTAGGATCACTTCCTCTAGAAGCAACCAGATGCCATGTTATGAAGATACTCGAGCAATTTCACACAGTGAGGAACTGAGGCCTCTTGTCAAAAGCCATGTGAATGACTCTGTCGGAAGCAGACCCTCCAACCCCAGTCAAGCCTTCCAATGACTACAGACCTAGATGATATCTTGACCATGACCTCATGAAAGTTAGTCAGGGTCAACCTGCTAAGCTGTTCCTGAATTCCTTATCCACAGAAACTATGAGATAATATAAATGCCTATTATTTTAAATTGCCAAATTTTAAGGTAATTTGTTATGCAGCAATAGGTTATACTCATACAAATCCAAATACAGCACTTGTACTTACCTTGTAGTATTGTAAAATTCTTGATGAGCTGACCATGCTTGGAATCCACCAGCTTCATCTCTTCCATAATCACCGATAAGTTGGCCACTTCAGTATCTAACCTTGACCTCATCATATCTTGTTGCATCCTGAGGGAAACAGAATCCAAACGGATATTGGCCAGTGTATTATTCAAGGAGGTCAAGTCATCCGTGTGTTTGGTTAGGGTATCGGTGCAAGTGGTCCTGACTTCATTCAGATTGCTGGTCAGCGTCCTCAGGTGGTGGGCCGTGTAGCTGATATTACTAATGATGTTCACAATATCTGTCTCAAAGAGCTGGAAGCGTTCCTCCAGTTGGCTGAACTTGATGGCTGTTCTATTTTCTGCGTCCTTATGTAAGTCCTGAAGGTCTTTCAGGTTCTGCTCGTTGGCTTGTGAGATAGTGGTGATGTTGTCCATCTGACCTGTGAATGAGTTGAGCTGGCTGTTCATATCCTCCAGGGTGTCGTTGTTGGCTTTGGCCAAGACAGAGTTGTTGGCAGCCAACGTCTGCAGGCTTTGTACTTTCTCCTTCAGCCAATCGGTGTCCTTCTTGGCTTGAAGGAAAACCTGCTGCAGATTTTGGAAGTCATTCTTGATTCGCTGGATAGCTTGGCTCGTGTCATCCACAGACCGCTGCAGATTACTGATGAGGTTCCTCTGCTGCACCTGGGTCAGGTTCAAGTTGTTGAGGTTCATCATGACCACGTTATGAGAATACATTTGATTCTGCAGATTGCCCTGGAGCACGCTGGTATCTTGTTGCAGATTGGTGACATAGCCATTATATGCCTGGAGAGTTTTGTTTACAGTGGTGATAAGGAAAGAATTATTTTCCAAAGTTTCTTTCAGTTGACTCTGCCTGTCCACCAGGGCATCCCCGCTCGCCTGTAGCTTCTCCAGCGTATCTTTGTTCTTGCTGGTTTTTTCTGTAATCTCATGAAGCTGTTGACGAAGAGCCAGAATATCTGATCTGAAGGTGGAAAGTTCTGAGTTGGTGCTTAGAGCTTTCTTCCCAGTTTGGTCTCCTGGGAAAAGAAATGTTTGCTTCTTATTAGACTGGCGGTATGGAGAAGTGTTTGGGCAAGGTCAGCGATCCCAAAGATACTTAACTAGAATGGATTGTTTTAGAGATAAAATTTATGGTATACACAGACTTCTCTGCATTAGTAAAAATCCACATAAAACTGGGTCCTGGGGAATCAGAATTGGTGTTCAGCACTTCAACCGACAAAGTTGGGTGAACATTTTTCTCAAAGAGAGGAAGAATTGACCAGATTCTAGAACAGTGGGCAGGGTATTCTTAGAAGGAAATAACCTTTTAAATTTACCAAAGTATTATTTTTAATTAAGCCCCAAATCAAGGAACAGAATAGATGGAACTATTTTATTTTTAAAATTAACTTTTATAATTCTATGCAGTTTAAAACTTACTGAGCATTTTATCCAAGAGTCTTTAACAAACCGTATTTGTGGTTCATTTTAGTTAGGATTGATCTTCAGATTTAAATTGGCAGATAGTAGTTCGGGGTGGGGGTGGGGGCCAGAATTCAACACCAAAATTGGTAATTTTCTCTACTATTGAAAAGTCTTTGAATGAAATAAGATAGAAAACTCAACATATAACACAAAAAAACCTGAATGTCCATCTGGGAATTTTCTAGAAATGGAATTTTCTAGAAATTTCTAGGAAGTATCATTCTAAAAAACTGCCATTATTTATATACAGTAGAGTGAGGGGGGTGCCACTGGATGGGTCATGTTTTTTGCAGATTACCTAGTTTTTTCAGGTCACTTTCCACCGCAGTGAGCTTGTCGTCATAGGTTTGGCGAGACGTCTCCATGCCACCTGTGACATTGTCCATTTTCTCTACAACTAAGTTTTAGGAAACAACGCATTAGTACACATACCCACTTATTTATATTTTTAGTTTCAAGACAAAAGATTCATTACAGAACAAAGGGAACAGAATAGGGGCAAAAGTATAATTGAAATCAAATATAGGGAAAGCTATTATTCTTTTAGTAAATAAGTTGCTTATCAGAAAACCAAGTGGAATAGATCATTTGGTTGAGGACTGTACATTCTTAACTATTATGATGATTCTGTAATAGCTTGGAAGCTTCAGAAATTAGAACTAGCTTTAAAAATTTTATATATTAAAGAAGTCTTTGATCTGTATTATTTCCTATGTTAATTGCCGTTTCATGTAGGCAGAGAACACTAAGATCATTTACAAAATTCACTGCTCACCAGCTGCCCTAAAATTCCTGGCAGGTATGACCCACTTACCTAGGAAGAGATTCATTAGCCAAGAACCCCTAGATCAAGTCTGTATTCAAAGTCATCTGAGAAGGGACAAAATGTCAAGAGGACCTACTGCTTTCATATGGGAGGTGCCCTGGAGGCCTGAAAATCTACTTTTCATCAGTGAAAATAAAATTTGTAGTTTATCAGTCTCCATGTAGATGCCTGAGTAGTATTTCTAAACAATGGTTTACCACGATTTTAGTTTAGCTTTTTTTTTTTTTAAATTTTCTTGATTGTACAACAGAGAAGGTTAGTGACACAGCATTAAATAAAAGCTTGGGTTTTTAAATCTGTTCTTAGATGGCAGTTATTCTCTAAAATTATGAATTCAAGTTTGTTTTTACAATGTCTCATAAGAAGATATTTCTTCAGAAGTGATCCCTGTGAGACCCAAACTCCAGCAGGTTAGGATCAAGTCACTCTGTCTCATCCCATCTGTCTGTGTGTCTGTCTATCTGAGATAGGGTCTCACTGTACTGTGCAGGATAGTCCTGAGTTCCTGGGCTCAAGTGATCCTCCTGTCTCAGCCTCCAGGGTACCTGGAACTATGGGTGTGGGCCACCTTGCCTAGCCTTACTGACTTCAGTCTCGACAAGCTTCTATTTAATAAAAAATTTAAAAGGTTTTTAAAAGCATAAGTATGTCCTCTATACCAATTGTGAGCTAATTGATGCAGTTAATATTATTCATCAAGGGTTCTACCCACACATGATTGAATGGGTGGCTCCTTTTCCTATGAGAACCTGTTACCTTTATGAGTGTATGTGACCCGAAGTGCACTAGCTCCATGAATCCTGGAATGGGTCTCAGGAAGCTCACTGTGCTCGCCCTCAAGTATCTTCAATCTGGCCATAATAATCCACACATACTGCCCCCAGTGCTGTCTCTCATGAGCCTTTCTATGTGTTCTTCTCTCTTCTACAATGTTCTTCCCGACTTTTTCACTATGTTATGTCCCCTTTGCTCCTCAGGCCCCAGCTCAGCATAGCCTTTGGGAAACCTCAGCTGAGCTGCATCTTGCAGAATTTTCCTGGCAAGCATCCCTTTCCCTATCACAGGACTCCCCATGCCATATCCTCACGGCTTGCTTACTAGAGCCTTCTGGGCAGGAACATTGCACAGGTGCCCCTTGACTTACAATGGGGTTATATCAATATACCCACAGCTAGTTGAAAATATCGTAAGTTGAAAATGCACTGAATACCCCTGACCTACTGAGCATCCCAGCTTAGCCAAGAGCACACTGAAGGGTGTAAGCTGCTTCCCCGCTGTGATTTCGGCCTACTGGGAGCTACTACTGATCAGCATCACAAGAGCATCTTACTATATATTGCTAAGCTAGAAAAGAGCAAAATTCAAAATTCAAAGTATGTTTCCTAGTGAATATGTATTGTTTTCACACCATCCTAAAGTCCAAAACCCTAAGTTGAACCATCGTAACTTAGGGACCATCTTTATTTAGTTTTATTTCTATCGCTTAGCTCAGTGTGTGGCACTTAGTAGGTGTTCAACAACTATATACACATGATGGCATTTATTTAACTGAGAATCTGCCTGGGGCAGCTGAGACCAATGAATGAACTGGACGAATTATATACGGGTCATGTAAACAAACCAACCAACCCATCCAGGAAAGCCTCTGCTTTGGCAACGAGTATGACATTTTGTTAAATAATTATTGTTTCTTAAATGACTACTTAGATGCAGACCTTGCGTCTAAGGGTTGGGTGCTGGGCATGCAAACACCAAGTCCCTGGACACTCGAAAGAACACAATGTATCCTGCCATTTTAGCAAAACTAACTTTCTGAAACACAAAATAGGGAATGTTTACAAGTTTAGGGTTAGTTTTGATTCTCAAATCAAAACAGATGCCTCTGGTCTGTCCTCAAACCACATGCAGGATCTTAAGTCCTGCCTCTCTTTCCTGGAAACCAAATAAACCTCTAAATATGCTGACAGTCATTCATTTTCTACCCTCTCTAATTTTTCTTCCATTTTAGTTTAGAAAAACACAGCACTGTCATGGACAGACGATTCAGGACAGGAATGAATACTTTCCTTTGGAAAAAACCAAAAATTTAAAAAAGAACCTGTTACCTTTATCTTCTGGGTAGCAAGGAAACTATCCTTCCCACCTCAAGTGCAGGGGAACCCACTGTGTGCACTGGGGTGTGTGTGTGTGTGTCTGTGTTTAAAAATAGGATCTTGGTAAAAGCTGCACATTTTAGGGCTGCAATGCTGGCAGACGGCTGGTGCATAAAAATACCAGACTGGTGGGGATCCAGAACTAACACTTGCTGTATGAGCACACAGCCTTTCAGTGGTTTTTACTCAAAATTATTAGCACAAATTCTCAATCAGGAATGTAGAGGCAGAGCCATCTTATCTAACATTGAAATGACCAGACTACAGATATAGACCTGTTTACAGATCATGCTTATAAGAGAAAAATGAACAGGAAGCCCCACCCCAGGGTTATCAGCAGTCTGGTTTTTGACAGGGTCTCTTTTTATTGGAAACTATAACTCAATGTGGACTATTTTTCTTCTGAATATTGGTATTTGGGGTATCATACCTGAAGAGTTGCCCCTCCTGAAGTACCCAAAGCATAATTCCCTGGAATAATCTGACAATAATACCTTCCCCATAAAAGCACCGTGGCACCATCTCTTGGCCGGGGCCATTAACCTCCTCTTTCCTTGTACTGTTTTCACCCACTTTTTAAAGTTCCCTTCAAGTCTCACCATCCCTTGTGTGAAGCCTTGCCTATAATTTGATTCTAGAGCACACCAACTGAACCTTTATTTGAATAATAACCATTTCAATAGCTTCTATTGTCTCTATAGTATAAATAATAAAAGTTCCCATTCTTTGCAAGGTACACTGTATCATCACTGCAGTTAATTCTTACCACTCCTGTTCTACAGATGAAGAAACCGAGGCTCAGAGATGCTCCATGACCTGCCTAGAACCACAGATATTGCATGTGACCTAAGTGGGGTGCCAGACTAAGAGACCTGATTCCAAAATCCATACTCTTTCTACAACTCCACATTGCTTTTCATTTAGCATTTCTTAATCCTCAATCTGGTTTCCCTTGATTAAAAAAAAAAATTCCTTGAAAGGAAGAATTGGGTCTTCTTTATATTTTCTTTAAGTCACCATCACCAGGTGTTTATTAAGCACCTGCCATGTTGTGGCATAGTGATAGCCACTGAAGAGTCAAGAGACATGGGCCATGGTCCCAGCCCTTGAGGATAAGGAACAAGGATGGAACTTGGAGCTCCTATTTGGTGCTCCGAAGTGTCTAAGAGATAAATATATCCTCTGATGGTTTCCTAAGACTTCCTGATTGCACTCCCCAGGAATTCAATAAAGACATTTCTATCTTGAATGCTCTTTCAGGTTTCATTACAGAAATACAGAAAATCTGTCTGCAGGGTGTTATCCTGGGTTCTAAAGAGCTCTACGCTGTGATCTGATGCATATTTTGAAAGTTCCCTTATCCAGTTGTCAATGCTATTTTGATTCAGCTTAGTAGCAAGGCAGACATTCTGTGGCTACTGAGGAAGATTCATATTTCGGTCCTCCTTCTTGATCCTAATCACCTTAAGAAGGCTGCCTACTGGGCAGAGCAATGGAGTAGGATTTTCCTGTTCTGAGAATGTTCTGGAGGAAACACGACCCACTCAACTTAAGAGATGGCTCCTGCCAAGAAAGCTCCAAGAACTAATGAGAAAAAGCCCAGGTCAGAAGATGTACCAAGCGTAACTTGAGCATGGTCCAAGAGCATGTTTTCTGCTAAATGACTGACATGCTTCATGGTCACAGCCACTGTACAGACCCTGTCTTGGTAACTAAGCAATTCTTTGGCTCATTCAGCAAATGCTCTGGGGGAAAAAACCCCCAAAAACAACAAAACATTATATCCCAACTTGTGGCTATGGGAGTGACAAAAAAGGAGAAGTAAAAAACAATTTTGAGGAAAACAGTGTGGAATTGCCTTTGTTGGCTCTGATAAATAAAAGAGTTTCATTTCTTTTTCAACATGTCCTCCAGAGAAACACCTACTTGCATTTCTTGAACTGAATATTCTTTTTATTTTCTTTCTTCTTTTTTTTTTTTTTTTTATTAAATATATAATAGTAAATGCTTTATTTTTACTATCTATACCCTCACATCTCAGTTGTGCCATGGTATTAATAAGTCTTTTTCTTTCTTTTAACAAAGTTCTTCCAGCCACCAAAGGAAGATGCGTGAAGGGAGAATTGGGTCTTATCTTTTCTGCCTCTTTGAGAGGCTGGGACACCAGAACCTTATCAGCAAGAAAAAGGAATCACTGTCAACGTGAAGAGAAGGTACCTCTGGAAAACGTCAGCATTTTAGCTCCTTATGGTCGTGTTTGGAAACCTAAAGGGCATTTTGTATTATCTCATTTTTGACAGCAGCAGCCTGAGGAGTGGGGGCATCAAAGGAAGGAAAAGAGGCTCAAGACACCATCTTGCCTCCCCTTCCACTTGCTCCATCCCTTCTTCCTGCGCCTGGTGAGATCACACTCAGAGCAGGCCAAGCTGATCTCTAGGATTTTAGATTTCAAGGTAGGACTTCACAGGGCAGCAATTCTTTACATGCAGATTGACTTAGTGTTGCTTGGGTATCAATTGTTTGCTTTTGTAGAAATCAGTCCTAATCTACCATCTATCCCTCCATCCATCCAGCCACCTATCCACCCTACGATTAATTCATTCAGTAAGCTTTGCTGGGTACCTGTTGAATACCATGAGGGTAGATGCTGATAGAAGATAAATAGAAGATAGTTTACATACAAACATCTAGTTCAAGTGCTGAGACAGAGAAGCCAGACACACTGGCCATAATGACGCAGTGTGACAGAGGCTAAGAGTAAATAACTAGTGCTGTGGGAACAAACATGAAGCATCCAACTAAGCTTTCAGGGGCTTTGGACAGGACATGAAGGGCATGAAGGAGTCATTTAGGTGGAGAGCAGGGAAAGGGTGCTCCAGGCACACAGACTAGCACAAGGATAACATCAGAACTGGAAAGATGCCCAGTAGATAAAATGGAGGAAATACCTGCATCTTACCAAACAGAGAGGAAAAGAAAAAACCTCTCTCCTTTGGATTTTTCTGTATAATTCTAAAGACCTTGCCCTTATGTCCTAACAGAGGTAAAAGTTAAAAAATAGTCCATCTTCACCAAACCACTCTGGTCTCTTTCAGAAGTAAATATTTATTCTCATGATATCGTAGGATACTGAGCCTTCAAAGGTGCTTACTAAATGGCTGTTTTAGCTCAGCTCACTAGGAAAAGCCATGGAGGAGTGAGTAAGTAACCAAGCAAAGGTACCTCTGGAAAACATCAGCCAGTGTGGATGACCCAGGACACAGAACACCCTCCTTCCCTCACTAGCCACCCCACCCCCACTGTCCCCCTGCGCAGCCCTTGTCGTGACTTAACGGCCTTTCTTAATCACTTACTGTGTTTGCTGCTTTGTCTAGAAACGCAAGACTCTCCCAATTAAATGAACTCATCACAGATGGATAAAATGACCCGGCAATTTTCCACATTTCCATTGCCCAAATTCCACCATCAACACGCTCCATGATGCATGTTATTTTCCGTGGATATTTCCTTGGGGGAAGGACTAAAAGGCCCTAACTATACTCAGGACTTTTAACACGTTTTGCCATTCTAGCGGCTGGAGCTGTATTAAATGTAATGGCAAAGGACAGAAGGACATTATAGTCACTATCTACTGGGACCAACTATAGCACAGGGGGTTTCTATGACATCGTCTCTGTTCAGCTCAACCACCTTGAAAGTGGCATCCTAGTTACCATTTTGCAGCTATGAAATCAGATTCTCTGGGAGGTGAAGATTCATACCCGGTTTCCACAGCCATGGAGAAGACTCAGCGTGATGCTGGCGCACAGAAAGCACCCACTGAACATTCATTACTGTATTAAAACAGGCAGGATCAAGTCTTGAACTTGAATGTCAAGATCCAAAGCCCATTCTCGTGCTAATATGCTGTGTCTCCTCAGGACACCACTGAATACTGGGGAAGCCTGAGAGGAGTTATAAGTTGGAAGGAGTTCACTTTGCATCCTTCTCCTCCAAGGTCAAGTTCAGGGGTTAAGCAACAAGGAGGAAACATGTGGAAGTTCTTCTCTGTGGGAAGGCAGCCATGGTTGCTGCTGAAAGAAGGGTTTGCAGATCAACAGACCAACGTCTGCCTCCATACTGCAACCAACCAGATGAACATATCTGTCTCATTTGACATTGACAGTGATGTGTTCATGCTGGGTTTTTTTTTGTACTGGGGATTGAACCCAGAGGCACTTTACCACTGAGCCACACCCCAGCCCTTTTTATATTTCATTTAGAGACAGGATCTCTAAAGAGAGGCTGGCTTTGAACTTGTGTTCCTCCTGCCTCAGCCTCCCAAGCTGCTGGGATTACAGGCATGCACCACCATGCCTGGCACATCCATACTGTTTTCTATAAAAGGATTTGTGTTGTTTGCAACTCTGAATCCTGATACCTACCTGTGCTCTATTTTTTTTTCTGCAAGTCGGGAGAATACAGTTTACCTTAAACTAGACAAGTGTAGGCCTGATGTTTTTTAAAATTTATTTATTTTGTATTTTTTAGTTTTCGGTGGACAAAACATCTTTATTTTATTTTTATGTGGTGCTGAGGATCGAACCCAGCAATTGCACATGCCAGGCGACCGCATTACTGCTTGAGCCACCTCCCTAGCCCTAGGCCTAATGTTTTATGGAGTTGAGGTGGCAGTGCCACTTCAGTTTTTACTTTTACAATAATTTTATGAAACTGTATAAGTGTCCCTGTGGGCTGACTCCAGTTTCCACTGATCCTCTTAAGGTGGGGGGAGGGGAGGAGAGGGGAGTAGCTAAAGATATGTAGATAAAAGCAACAAAGAGGAAAAAAACATCTTTATCACTCAAAGAGGATTATTATTATTATTGAAGTGGGTCAAAAGAAATTATCTTCTCCCTTGTAGGTCCCATAGCTACAAGAAGCTTAGGACACACAGATGGAGCTCAGGAGGTCCTTAAGTTTTACACCTGAGTTACATAAATGTGATACAGTTGGACTTCTATATCTGTGGGTTCCGCATCCTTGAATTCAACCAACTCTGGATTGAAAGTATTTGGAAAAAAACTGCATTTATACTAAACATGTACAGACTTTTTTCTTGTTATTATCCCCTAAACAATTCAGTGCAACAACTTTTCAGCATTTACATCATGTTAGGTATTATAAGTCATTTAAGCTGGGTGCAGTGGCGCATGCCTGTAATCGTAGTGGCTGGGGAGGCTGAAGCAGTTGCGAGTTCAAAGCCAGCCTCAGCAACAGGGAGGCACTAAGCAACCCTGTAAGACCCTGTCTCTAAATAAAATACAAAATAGGGCTGGGGATGTGGCTCAGGGGTTGAGTGCCCCTGGTTCCATTCCTGGTACCCACCCCCCCAAAAAAAGTCATCCCAGAGAGATTTAAAGGCTATGTGACAATGGGTATAGGTTATATGCAAATAATATGCCATGTGTACAAGAGACTTCAGCATCCACAGACTCAGATATCCTCATGGATCCTAGATCCAATCCACAGTGGTTACTGAAGGGCTACCGTACTTCATACTTGCAAAGATGAGCTTTTTCATGCTTAAATTAATGACTTGCTATTCAGAAGGAAAAAAGAAAGGCTACTTACCTTTATATCCCAAAATGGCTACTGTGATGGTTAGCAAGGCACATAAAATGTATAATAATATGATAGAAAACTTCAGCGCCCAGTTATTTTTACATTTGGTACATTGGGTTCCTTCCTGAATACCTGTAAGAGAAGTCAAATTTTAATTATGGTAGACAGAAGTATATTTTGGAACAGTATCACTTTGCATTTTGGTTCAAATACTGTGACTAAGAATGACATTTATATATGCTTCGCTATAATAAGAAAAGTATGTGAAAATTAAACTGCTAGGACTTTGCACACTGCATTGTGTCGTTATAGTTGTATTTTAATATGACTTTAAAACAGCTTTGTTTCCCAGAAGAGTTTCAAAACAAATTCCATTATAATTTCAATAAACATCCCTGTGTGACGGAAGGTTTTAAACACCCAAATCTTCATTTTAGACATTATTGAACTTATATAAATTCAACATAACCAATCCACCAAACCAAAAACACCTGCCTTATCCCCTGGTGTTTGTTTTAATATTGTGCTGGGGCTGGTTCCCACTGGCTTATGAGAGCCAATTTGTAGAATTTTGGTTGTTAAACTGATGGCAGCACAAAATCAACCCCAGAGGAAGTATTTACACCACGGAAATGGGTGCAAACACTGCAAGTTAGCATACCCCTTTACTCTTAAAAAAACCTGGTTTACTAACATGCCATTTGTTGTAATGTACAATTAAATGCTCAATATAAACCATTTTTTGTACATTACATGCATACAAACAGATTTTGACCCTTCTCTCAGTTATCACAGTCATCTGAATAACAATACGGAAGAAAAATTAAAACCAGACATTTTTTATGAGAGCAGGTAAACTTTTACTGCTGACAGTTCAACTTTGTGAAAAACAGTACAGTCTAAGTGGTAAACCAGCATCCTTGCTGCAAGTGACTCCAGCAACTAACCCATAAAAGGGGAACTTTCCATCTGATTGATTGGAAACACAGAAGACAGAGACTGAGCACACTGTAATGTGAAAATCACATTGTATGGGGGATCACAGCATCAGTAGATTCCTTGTTTTCCTGTCCTGTTTCCCTGTGTGTGTCTTACAATAGCGTCCCCCAGGAGCAACAGCACATAAAGGACTGATCTCTTATAATTGTGCTCATAATTTTTGATGGGTAAGTCATGAGGATTAAGTCATAGTTGAGGTTCCTCTCCTTTGCTTTGTAATTTTATACAGAGTGCCCCTCTTCCGTGAAAAGAGTTCTTCAGCTGTGTTTAATGCAAAATGATGATGGAAACAGCATAGAACAATGACTCAAACTTAGCTCTCAGAGTTCAGCCAATCCCTCTGGTGTTCGGGGCTACAGGCACAAGGGGAGGGGTACAATCTGTTTCATGACTTACAGCAGTGCTAACTCAAACTTTGGGGTGCATTGGAATCACATGCAGCACTTGTTAAAACACAGCACTTCTGATTCAGGTGATGTAAAAGGGGCCTGAGAACATGGATGTCTAACAATTCTCAGGTGGTACCAATGCTGCGATTCTTTAGAACAGGCGTCTCTGGCTTCACATATTATGTTGTTTAAATGCAGATTCCAGTTCAGTAGGTCTGAACTGGGAAATAAGGTTCTGCATATCTAACAAGGTTCAGGTAATGTCTAGTCTAATGACCACATTTTTTTAAAAAAAATTTTTATTAGTTATTTGATGGACCTTTATTTATTTAATTGCTTATATGTGGTGCTGCGAATCAAACCCAGTGCCTCACACATGCTAGGTAAGTGCTCTACCACTGAGCCACAACTCCAGCTCCTCCCATTTTGAGGAGCAAGAATCCAGTTCAGATGATGATCATGGTGGATCAACCATTGGTTAGTCAATTTCTTATGAGGGAGGGATACCAGGGATTGAACTCAGGGTACTCGGACACTGAACCACACCCCTGGCCCTATTTTGTATTTTATTTAGAGACAGGGTCTGAGTTGCTTAGCGCCTTGCTTTTGCTAAGGCTGTATTTGAACTTGCGATCTCCTGCCTCAGTCTCCAGAGCCCCTGGGATCATAGCTGTGTGCCACTGCACCTGACTGGTTAGTCAATTTCTTGAAGGTGAAGCCATAAAATCAGACTCATTCATTAAACAAACCTAGAAGTTTTCTTCATGTTACAATTTCCCCATATTTTGACTCTTTTTCCTTTCCAACCCACATTTCTCTAATAGCCAACTGCATATCTGATGACCTAGGTACTAGCTCTGCCAAAACAGATCTCCAGCTTACACCCAACTTAAGTACTACTATTATCTCAATCTCTCAGGTGATTGTATGCAAAGACACTATGACTTCTTTGGTATGTATTCTCTGATTCAGTCATCAGGTCCTGTGGAAAATTTTATTTTTAAAATATTTTTATTGGTACATAGTATATTCTAGTGGGGTTCCTTATGCCATATTGGTATGTGTCCATCATTCCTGTGGGATATTTTTATCACAGTCATCATCTACAGTTTCTTGATGTTCGTTGGCTTCCATTATGGTTTAGATGTGAGGTGTCCCCCAAAAGCTCATGTGTGAAACAATGCAAGAAAGTTGAGGTGAAAGATTGTGAGCCTTAACCTAATTAGTATATTAATCCACTGGAAAGGATTAACTGGGAGGTAACTTTAGGCAGGTAGGGTGTGGTTGAGGAGGTAGGTCACTGTGGGCATGCCCTTAGGGTTCATATTTTGTCTTTATTGAGCAGAGAAACCTCCCCTGCTCCCCCAGCCCTCTCTCTCTCTCTCTCCTTCTCTTTCTTTCTGTGATTCTTGGTGGCCATGTCTTGACCTGCCTTCCTCCACCACCCTCTTCTGCCATGATGTCCTGCCTCTCCTTGGGCCCAGAGCAATAGAGTTGGCCATCTATAGACTGAGACCTCTGAAACCGTGAGTCCCCAAATAAATGTTTCCTCCTCTAATTGTTCTTGTCAGGTCTTTCGGTCACAATGGTGAAAGAGCTGAATAAAGCACCAGATTCTTTACACACAGCATCTTTAATCCATAAAGTAATCCTACAAGGTGGCACGGTAGTGAGGGCTGAAATGACACCCTATACACATCCCAGCCTTGATTCCAACCAGTGGCAGACTCCAAACACCATGATCACTGCACCAAGCCACGGTCCCTATCTCCATTGATCCTCTCCATTTCCATTGCCATCATCCAAATGTAAGAAATCTTACTCTCGAGTGGAAGCTTCCTCTTCTCTTACCACTGGAATCCAGCCTCACCCTGCTCTAACATACTGCTGTCCTCATGACATTTACCAAAAAGGAAAAAAACAAAAGCAAGCTTTCAATGGCTGGCCCTTAACTAAAGGATGAAAACACACACACACACACACACACACACACACACACACACACACACTCCAGCTCTTATACTCCCTTTAATTCTGGTGATTTAAAATGACAAAAAAGACCTCTTACATCCCAAAAGAGTGAAAGCATCTGGAAATGGAAGTAAAGGAAGAACAGGTAGATTTCCACAAATGTGCCTCCTTCCATGTTGAGAAAGAATAAATTTGTTTTGGTGGTAACTGTAACACAGAAGGATGACGAATGCAGGAACAATGGACCGTCCTCTTGTAGGAAGATTGAATAATACTGTCATGATTGACAGGACTTTCATTCTTTTTGGAGATTAGAACCATGGTAGGTGACATCTCAGAAGATTTGGTCAGTGTAGTAGATTGTGGTAGATAATGGAATCTGAGGCCAGAAGATAGTGTAGAGGTCATCTGGCCCAAGCATCACCATGGAACTGACAGGAACAATGAGGACCAGCAAGATGAAGCAGGATCAGGAGCCCCGTGTCCTGACTCCAACACAGGCATTCATTCCTCCGTCCTTCCCTGTGTGCACTGGGCGGCCACTGGGCATCTCGTGCATGTGGCACCCATGCAGCTCTGCTCCAGAGCTGTCACTGGTGCACATTCCTAAGAGCAGGGGCACTTCCTCATAGTGTGCACTTCTACCTCTGACTGCCTCAGATCAATCAATATCAGATGCCACTGCCTGGTCTCACTTTCCACTTGACACACTTTCTCTGGCTTGTTTTTTTTCTCCCCCGGAGACTTATTTTTAATAAGAACTCTTGTTTTATCTTTCCTTCTCTGCCCTCCCCTGGGAGGACATCTGGCCAAACATACAGATGCCTACTACAAAGAGACCCTGCTGGCTCCCGGAGCTGGGGGACCCCCTCCTCCTTGAACCTAGATGATCACAAAAAACATTCGTGAGAGATATCCTCCTGTTACCAGCCTTTGTAGTGTTTGTTTTCTTAGCATTACTTTCCAGAGACTAGGGACTTTGTTCCCATGGGGGTGACGGGGGTGGGGGGGGCCAGAAGATGGATCTGCACAGTGCTGCAGATAAGAGACTCCAGTTCAGGAAGCAAAGCAATGCTGCCTCTTACCACCACCCAGAGAGATCCAGCTTTTCAAAAGACCTGGCCCAAACAGCACATCTGTGATGCAGAGAGCCACAGGCAGAGAGGTTCCTGGGGGGAACATGTCTTTTACTGGTTTTCCCTCTTGAACTATCTCCCATTCGGTTCCATTCTTGGCTTGGGCTCTGAATGTGTTTTCCAGTACCCAAGTCTTTGTTATTCAAAAACCTTTGGGGGCCCAGTGAAGCCAAAATCACTCTGGTTAGCTCCTGGAATATTCCACGGAAGTTCAGAATAGGCTGACAATTTGGTCTCCAGTGTCCAAACTCCAAGTTCCCTGTGTTGCCCTGTTTCCAATAACACATGTTTCAAGTAAAAAGTGTGGGGGTGGGGTGGGGCCCCCATGAGAGGGCGGTTAGCTGGTTGCAGAGAATAATTGAAACGCTCCAGGAATGACAGTGCAAAGGGCCAGAAGAATTCACCAGCAAAGAGAATTCCTTTCTGCTGTGGTTCTCCATAAAGAGCCCTCCCAAGTGCTGTGGTCCAGGCTTCGATCCAGTCTGTTTTTCCAATCTTTTGAGAGAGAGAGAAAGAGAGAGAGAGAGATTGTCCCCTTCACTATCTCATTTTCCTGCCATGTATATTGCTGAAGATGGATTCATCTAAATAAGTTTAATGAGCTCTCGCCTGTGGAAATGGATCCATCCCTTCCTCA